CTTTGAAAAGTTGAAAGACATAACAGGTGATTGCCCTGATCTTGTTATAGTTTCGGATAGGGGAACAAGTATTCCGGGTGCTTTTGAAAAAGTGTTTGAACATGCACATCACGGACATTGTAACTACCGCTTGTTGAGAAACATAAAATCCGAGTTTCCAAGGTTGGAATTGGATGCATTGTTTTGGGAAACAGCCGAAGCATACACGATACGCCATTTCGAAGACAACATGGCAGCATTGTGCAGTAAGCACCCGAAACTCCGAAAATACCTAGAGGATGCTGGTTTGCACCGGTGGGCTCGAGCACATTTCAGAGCAACTCGTTTCAACATAATGACAACAAATAATGCGGAATCCTTAAACTCTATGTTGAAGCGTGCTCGAGAATTTCGAATCCTTGGCCTGATTGAACATATAAGGGCGACACTGCAAAAGTGGTTCCACGAAAGACACCTTAGTTCTACAAAATGTAGTAGCGTTCTTACACCACCATTTGAGGAGAAGATGCGTAGCAGATACGACGAGTCGAACGGACTAGATGTGGTCCATGTAACTCAGACGATTCTGCAAGTTGGTGGAAGGCATATAGTTAATCTCGAGGAACGGTTATGCACATGTCGAAAGTTTGAAATGGACATGTTTCCATGTGCGCATGCCATTGCCGCAATAAGATTTGTGAACGATAATGGTTACAATTTCTGCACTATGATGTATTCGAGCTCTTCTTGGAGAGAGGCGTACTCTGAACCCGTTCACCCTTTGCCTGATGAGGCCGATTGGATAATTCCAAAAGAAATAATGTCAAGAATTGTTTTGCCGCCACCATCACGACGTCCAAGGGGCAGACCTACAGTCGGACTGAAAAAATCGGCAGGTGAGCCTCGAACAAAATCAAGCACCAAACCGCGCCAAATTCGTAAATGTAGTAGGTGTAAAAAAGTCGACCATAATCGTGGTAGGTGTGAGGAGATTAACCTCAATGAAGCGACTTGAAGTTATATTTTGACTTTTTGGTAGATATGGTGTTTTGACTTTTGGTATAGTGTTTTGACTCGGCCACATGGTGTGTTGGCTTTTTGTATAGTGTTTTGACTCGGCCACATGGTGTTTTGACTTTTTGTATAATGTTTTGACTTATTCGTATAGTGTTTTGACTCGTGTATTGTTTTTTTATGTGGTTTGTCATGTAATGAAACAAGTTGTTAGACATTGAAATTATGTTTTCTCCCATATATTTTCCGACTCATTTAATTGAGATTGTAAAACTTGAAGTTATATTGTAATATATAAGGTATGTGTAGGCGTATTTAATCGTCTGAGATAAAAAAAACGGTACATTTGTCGTGATTTTTAAAACACGAATATACAATCGTTAC